GGCGGCGGGGGGGGGGGGGGGGGGGGGGGAGGGGAGGGATGGAGGGAGGGGGCGGGGCGGGACAAGCGCTGCACGGCCCTAGGGAGCCTCCGCGCCGCCTGCCCAGCTGCCCCCGGCGCTTCCTATCGGCGACCGCGGCTGCTGCTTCCACGCCAGGCTCTGGCCATCGCTGCCCGCCCCAGCGTCGAGAGCACCGGGGGCGCTGCCGAGCCCAGCGGCCGCTCACATCGTACAGCGCTGCGGGCTCAGGGCGGTCGGCGGCAGGGCACGACGAGGGGACACGCAGCCGGAGCGGAAAGGACGGGGAGGAGGGGAGGCGCTTGCAGCCAGGTCTTGCTCCAGCCCCTGTCCCCGCCGGAGCCCTGGAGCCGCCACCAGCACCATCCGCTCCGCACGCCGCCCGCCCTCCGAATGGCACCGCGCAGCCCCGGCGCCCGGCCGCGACGAGCAGGGGCGGTGGGCGCGCGAGCCCATTGGGCGCCACCGCTGCACCAGCGCGGGGTCCATTGGCCAGGGGCCCCGCCGCTCATCGCTCTCAGCCAATGGGAGCGGGCGGCGCGGCGGGGGCGTGGCCGGCGGCGGGGAGGCGGGCCGGGGGAAGTGGGATGTGGCGGCGGCGGGGGCGGGCACGGGCGCGCCGGGATGCGGTGCCTGTCCGGGGAGCGCAGGGAGAACAGCCCCGGGGTGCGCCGGGCAAAGGGCCAAGAGGCGCTCCTGAGTTCCAAATGGACTTTACTTTTAACACTGGCTTAAGAGAGCCAGAGCTCTGGACCAAATCTTGCGCTGTCCCTATTCCCAGAAGACTGTCGGCCTCTTCCCGCTTACTCCACTCCCATGCAGGGAAGGCTCAGAAACAGCCAGAACTTCTCGCAACAAAGTCTGTTCACGTCCATCGAACCTTGACAATATTTTTACTTTTGTTAAAAAAACGAGTTGCTCTTCAAAGTCTAGATAAGTGTGGTTTTATCATCTCCTACAAGTGTACATAGAATTTTGGTTTTTTTCCTAATATACATCAAAAAAAGCAGTTATTGGAGAATGTTAAGAGAAAAATAAAAAGTTTTACAGTGATATTTTTAGAAAGTGCTTTTGTTCTAGAAAAAAAGAGCTGCCATTAGATGAATTGAGACAATGAGAGAAAAAAACGAAGGTTAGGATGAGTAGCTTAACAGCTAAGAAAATAAATGCCTGTAAAATCAGAAAGATAAGTTGAGCAGAGTCCATCAAGAAAACAGTGCTTATTTTGGATCTGATAAAAATAGGATGCTAATGGAGAAGGAAGGAAAATGCAGGGAGGCTTGCTATGTGGAGGAAGTCGGCTCTGTGATGGCCTCTCAGATTCAAACATTAGGAGAACAAAAACAACATGGAATATACATAGAATATTTAAAAAGATATACTTTCTTACTTTAGATACCACCTACCAATCAGTAATCAAAAGTGCTACAGAATTAACTATATCCCTTGTACCATTTTTGATTATATAACCAACACTCATTTTTGTTTTGCACACTTCAGATTACTGCACTTAAATACTTTCAAAGCTGTCCATGGCTGTCTTTATCCCCTTGGTAGCACAGGAATCAGTCGATAGTCCCAATGAGAAACCGTATTCTCGGAAAATGCTTCTATTCATGGTCTGTTAGCGAGACTTTGTTTGCACTAGCACCATGTGACACAGTCACCGTGGTTATGTTACAGAAAGGGTTGGAATAATACACCGCACATCCACGTGAACATGTGCTCAGTCAACAGAGCCATTCGTATAAATTAATTTTAAGAAAAATCAGCAACCATGTATTTTTCCATTAGTCCAGTCTCTTTGTTTTCTGCTATCATGAGCCAAATTTGTTTCTAAAACTGGGCTGTAGAGACCTTTTCCCCCAAGGATTTTGCACTGTGCTTAATGACAGCTATGAAGTCCATCTAGTTCATTTTTTTTTGCTTCACTGCACTGGGCTCAAAATGACTGGAATGCATTCACCTGTAGTAGCCATCTGCCAAACAGTAATATCAGTAGTGTTTTAAACAGTAAGCATGTTCTCTTATATCTGTACCTTTGTCAGATAACATTGCTGGTACAGTAGTGTCTTACAGACCAAAAATCATCTGGTGTCAGCTGAGAAAGAAAGTACACCTTTGACTAACAATAGCTGATACATTCCAGCTATTGCCAATGCTAAGGGTTATGTCAGACTAAAATAAGGATGAGCTAGTATAATTTTTGAATTTGTCTGTTTACATACTATATAACAATTGTCAAATTTTACAATTTCCACGTCCTTGCACATCAAACAAGCAAGGTATTTGGATAGGAAGAATAGATGCATAAAGACAAGGTAAATGTCTGACAAAGAAAATCCCACCAGCCCCAAAACAAGAACACACACACACCCCCCAAACCACAGGGTATGTCAGCATAAAATATCAGTAGCAAGTCCTCCTTTCCAAACAAGCTGAGGACAGTGCCACAGCCATACAGTCCAAACTGAATCATCACTTCACTCGCTTTCACAGCAGCCAGAGAAGAAAAGATCCACTGGGACTGCTTTCAATCAAACTGTTACCAGGCACATCAACAGCTGTACTGGGGAGAATTCCCAAAAAGTTATTTCCATCCTAATTCCTTCTAGGCTAGAGTTAACATACATGTTACAACACCATGCCATGTCCCTAGGAAACAGTGATTTCAGCAAAGATGAAGAGAGTATTCTTTTGTATTCTAAAGCAGGATACCAACTATTAAATTTTTCACTGTTTTTTATCTAGGTTCCAGAGTACTTTCCTCAGGGAATACCATTGCTCTATAATATCAAGAAGATATTACAGGGAAAGTGAAGTAAAAACTGAGCTCCTATCAGAATCTTCATATCTTTCAAAAACCCATGCTTGCCTTAAATACCCTTTTCAACTTTTCAAAAGCCATGTTAAAGGCATTTCTTACTTCCCTTTTCCACTTGAAGGAACTACCTTGTCAGCTGGCATGTGCTTAAGGGAGTTTATACTGGAGGTAACAGGTATTTCTGAAACTTAAATCCTTCTGGGAGACAGGGACATTGTTAACACAGCTTCTGGGAGAGGCATCCTTAGAGCAGTGGAAATTACGCATCACAGCAAGAGCACAACAGCAAGGGAGTGAACTCAAGGAGCATAGCAGTAGCAGGCAAGAGTGAAGCAAAGTTACATCTCTCCTACTATTATCAGTTGATAATGGGTTCATCTCTTAAGGTCAGAAACAGATCATGTAAATACATGAGTGCCATGAGACATGGAAACAGAGAAGTTTTAAGCAGTCATTAGAGACTATGCAAGCCTAATCCTTATTTTGTTCCTAGTTGAAGGTTTTAGAGAGGGCAAACTCTTCAAATATGGACATACCTTTTGTTTCTAGGCTCCTACTAGGGCATAGGGCCATCAATACTCTGCTCCCAGTGTATCTACCTGCTTGTTTCATTATTTTTATGTCACTCTTATCTCCCTCTGCCTATGTTTTCTTTGCTGCCCTTTCTCCATTCCAACTTAGAATCAAGTTCTAATCTCTCTCCAACTTAGAATCAAGTTCTTTGTGACTGCCTCTGAGGTATTCACACAGCATCTAATACAAAACAGTAATGAGAAAGGGTGCATTTATCTTCATGTATGTTCAGGTCCATTCCCTGTGTTTCACTTATTTGTAATGAAATACAGTTGGGAATATTACATTTGGGAAGAGAGAAATAACAAGAAGATGTACTTATATCACAGCAACATTCTGAAAGAGAGGATGACCAGAAAGCATTATCTGTGGCCAAAATCTAGAACAACCCCTAATGACCCAAACTGCAGCTCTCACAAGACAAAACTGAGGCTTGCCTCTGTGGACTTGGAGCATCTCTAGGCAGGAATGGAAACATCACCCGTAGTAAGGGCCCCCATGTGAAATGCAACTGCTATGTGGAGCTGAGCAGCTCTGCTGAAGCAGTAGTAGCCTGTTTTCCTAGAAAATATGTCTCAAGCTGTGGAGATGTTGGTTTAGTTTTTGGCCTGTTTTGCCTTCAAAGTTCTAGCTAGAATAAGGCAGTAATGAGGGAAAAAAAAAAGGAAGTATTTTTATTATAAGGATTTTTGACAGAGACACTGCCTTCATCAATGACACTCCATCTTCTCACAGCTCCCAAATGTTCAGTGGCACAGGTATGATCCCCTCAGATCAGCCAAGCACTCTCTATACTCGGCCTTTTAGGACTTACCATCCATTTGAGCCCTTGAATTCTCCAGAGCTGCTGATACAACATAATTTTCCCCACTGCTGGCTTTGCTGGCCTTACTAGTCTCTTACTAGTCTCTTACTAGTCTCTTGCTAGTCTCTTACTAGTCTCTTACTAGAGACTTCCAACTCATGATCACTTTCAAGTCTCTAGGTGCTCGGGTTATCTTCCAACAAAAGTTACCTTTCCAACAAAAGGAAACCCACTCCTGAGGACTTACGTTAACAATGCAGATCATCCACTTTAGGGTCAAGCATGTGGTCAAGTGTTAGATTTCTTTTTCTCATGTCTTTTTTTCCTGGATATGGGGAAAGTGCATTAAGTAAAGGGCTGGTAGACCTATGGTCCAACAGTACTTATACTAGGTCAAATTTAGTATTTATGAATTCTCACAAGCTGGAAAATTTCAGAATCAAGTTTACAATCAAATTTCAGCCAGAAGGTACTATAGTACTTTCTTTTTAGTCAAATGCTATTGTTAACATTATTTCATTCAGTGCAAAGGATTGTCACTAGGAGTGAGGACTGCATAATGAACAAGCCAGGAAACTAGAGAATAAGAGCCAGCTGTAAGATTTTCCCTTAAGAAAATTGAATACCATTTTGGATAATTGTCTTTCTTTTCCTATCTGTCAGAAGTCTTTTTGTGA